CTCGCAAATCAGCGAGGGAAATTTCCCTCGCAAATCCGTCGCTGATATCCGTCGCTGATCCGTCGCTGATAGCATTACCTACGACTAATTGATCGACGGAGTATCAGCGACGGATCAGCGACGGATTGACTTTCAGCGACGGATTTGCGAGGGATTTTTCCGTCGCTGATAGTCTGCATTTTTGTAGTGTATCCTGAGCAACGATCCTCCGTTCTTACGAAATATTTCCTTTTTAATTGATATTTATGTACGATTTTTCGGATCTTTCAATCCATTAATTTTATTAAATTAAATTTTACAAAACATTTTTAATAGACATGCTTGGACTTGGATATCAACATTGACAAAATGAGCCAGAGTTCCTTTTTACTCACGAGCCTCTTATCCAAGCTCGTTCTCAAGTTATATTGATGAGGTCCTCTGAAATATATGAAATATCCTTAAATCTCTTAATTAATAAAATATGTCGTTTTTATCTAGTCAATGCTACCCCTTAGAATGGATGCGAAAGTGTGTGTCTAGTTCCTATATGTTGTGGACCCTCGGATCTCATACCATTGGAAAATATCTCTCGAAAAGAGCTCTTATAGAAAGGGTTACATAAATGCATATTTGATTATACGTGTCTAACAAATGTAAGACTCGACCAAATCCAAGATCCAACCACTAATGCAATATTACATATTCATTTAAATATGAGTGGTTAATGTTACGTATTCATTTGAATATGAGTGATTCTTTTACTTACTGACATCATATACTGAATAATGATTGGACGAATACATGACCCGACCAATTAGGATTGCTAAAACTACAGGTTCTAAAGAAGAGCATTAAGGTTGACAACGGGTAGGGTAACAACTATTCATTATCCTATCCATTTAAAATAGTAGATAGCAAAAAACGGGTAATTGAAAATCTTATCTATATCCATACCCTACACATTGAGATAACATGTAACAAAATTGGTAATGGATAACTGATAGAAAAGATCTACATTTTGAATTACAAATAATATTGCTAAACATCAAAACATATAAATAAAATATAAACTTATAACTACAGTAATCTTCTACATCTAATTTGTTCTAATAAACATTGTGTTGTCATTCTAAAATAATATGAAAATTTAAAGACATAATCCTTTTCCTGCTTGTTTCTCATTTAATCATCACGAACTATTTTGGTCGAGAAATATGAAAATTAAATTATAACTACACATTAATATACAAAATATATGATAAATTACAAGGAAAGAAATTAATTAACTATATATAATTATGTGTGTGTATGTGTTGGAGTCAAACAGAAGAACATCAAATATAAGTAGGAGGTTTGAAATGATAAAAAAATAAACTGCAGAAAGGTTTCTGAAGTTTATGCACATACAAAAAAATAGGAGTTTCTTGTGATAGACAACTTCTTGTTAACACAACAACTACATTATACAGTGGGTATTGTCCAATATATATATTCACATAGACTGCAGGATACCAAGGGATGCAACCCTTCACAAACGACACACCTATAAGGGTTGACAGTTATATAACTGTCAACAGTAACTGGCCATCAGATATAAACCCAAAACTTGACTACCATGACTAGCTTACATTTTAACAGTATGTGTATATATATACGTAAAAAATTTCACATTGTGAACCAAACACATTACGAATCAAATATATCTTAATTAATACATTGAATATTATACATGGATGTAAAAAAATTATGTGAAACAAAACCTTAAGGTAGAAGTTCTTATGGATCTTACAAATTTTAGAGTTTTTAAATGATTAAGTTACAATATGTATGTGTGTGTACATACATATAACAAATAACCTGTTTACTTTTTCTATTGCCAATTTTAAGAAACGAGAACATGCATATAGTTTTTCTCATACCAGAATCAATCAAGCAATGGTTGATAGTATCTTCTTTAAAAACTTCTCTCAAGATTAAAATACTATTTTCTAACAAATTGTGATATTCAAATACTACTGTGTCTGAAAGCATACAGCAATTTTGTATTTTTGTGGACATTAAAAAACTAAAATGAATGATTAAAAAAAGATGGTCATCCCAAACACATGCTTCAAAACATTTATCAGCTTATGCTTCAGGACCATTTCTTGTTTGGGTGCATTTAAATCCATAGATATGGGATAATTGCAAGAACGGTCCACAAAGTTATACATAAATATAGAAACTACCCCAGTTCTCAGAATATTTTCAGGAATGAATAAAACTAAATGGTAATGACTGATGAAATATAAGCATATTTAAGTAGTTTTAGATTGCAAGGATTCCAAAATCCATTACCCTAACAAATATTGATTTAACATGCATATCATTATGTATGATAAATTACTGTTATTTTCTTTACATTAAATTTTTGAATATGAAAAGCAGGGGTTAAGATGGTAATAATAAAAACATCAGGGGGTTGAATGAATCAACCTATAATACCAAAACGCCAAAAGTTGTTTAATTACCTTTTTTTTTCTTTTGAAAAAAAGAAAAATAATGTATTCCAAAAAGTTATATTTAAGCATAGGAATTGGCTCGGACCCTTGGAGAATCCAGTCCATCCGTCTTGGGGATTCTCTAGTTTAAGGATGGGAATCCCTGTTTGTTTCAAACCTGGAATGAGGATAGGGATAGGAATAGGAATAGGGACGAGTATCACACTCTTTGCCCTGTCTCATACCCGTTATATATTAATAATAGATTAGATATAAATTATTTATTTGAACTAAATCGGTAATACATAATTTCTTATTTCCTAACTAAATTTATAATCTAAAATTGTTATTTGTTAAATGTCAGTATGTAATATTTTGGATGTCAAGTCAAAATACAATTACTCGATATGTTTTAGATATTACTCGATATGGTTTTGGTACATTTGACATTAAGGGGCTGTTTGTTTTTAATAAAAAAACTCTTAATGTCCTCTTAAGTCTGAATCGGTCAGACATAAGAGGATTCAGTGTGTTTTTTTTTTCAATTAAGAGCTTAAAAACTCTTATTAGGTCTGAAAATTTAAGTGGTTGAGAAACCTCTTATTACCTCTTATTTCAAATCGTCGCCTATCTACTCTGATCTATTTACGCTCGATTTCTCTGGATCAACTCTTATGTCTCGATCTCTCATCTCTCAACTCTGTCAACTGTCAACTGTCAATCCATATCAACTCTCGATCTCTCATCTTCAAACTTCAGATTTCAGACACAAAAAACAAACAGTCTGATTGATTCAGATTTCAGATTTCAGACTTCAGCACCACCTCTTAAAAATCGTGAATTCAGACTTCAGACTTCAGCACCTCTTAAAAAACAAACGCCACCTAAGTTTTTTCTTTATCAAATTGAATTTCTTTTATGTAGCTTATTAATTATCATATGATATTGTGATTTTTTTGTATTAAATTAATAACTCCTTTTGATTTCAATTTTATTGGAAATTTGTGAAATTTAAACATATGTGATGTCTCATATATTTGATTTAAAATAGTTTTACATAAACGGAAAAAATCTCCGTTTCCCGCTAGGGATGAGAATATGATCATATTTCCAGACGGGGACGGGACGGGGATATGGACATAGATGAGGGATCGGGGACGGGATGGGGATTGAGGTCCTCGCCCCATTCCCATGCCTAGTTATATTTGATTTTAATCTAATGATACTCTATTTTAATAACAACAAAAAATAAAGATCGTAGTGGTTGTTAATCGAACGCTTACCTAGTAAGCACTTACCGGGTCACTTACCTTACCGAATGAAAATGGCAAGAACCGAAAACCTTACTTGGTAAATGAGGATGACGACTCTTACCCTGTAAGCACTTACCGAGAAAATTGTTGGGTACACTGTTGTGTTGATGGACTAGAATTTTACCTGATAAAGTAAACGAGAGTGTGATACTTCTACCCACAAGTGCTTACCAGGCTAAGCAACAAAAAGAGTGATAAATAAACATTTTAAATGAATAGAGAACTTAAAGGTTGGCTAGAAAGCATGAAAGGAAAAAAAACAAAGTTTAGGTTATGGAACATAAACAAGATAAGCTTTGAAACAATATTTGCATCCAAGGCACGTTAACAATCATTGAATGTGATCATATATAATAGTAAAATCCATCTTTTAATCCGTGTTTTACTAATGACATTAAGTCACATCAGAATTTGGGACAACGAGTGTGTGACAGACAAACGAGTGGTAAGAATTTGGGACAACGAGTTTTCATCCATTAAGATATGGGCATCTTATCATATCTCCTCTGCACATTTTTTATTGTTAAATACACACCTACATAAACAGCTAGATAACAAAGACTGAAAGATAAAAGGATGGGTCATCTTTGAGATTAAATAATTAGAAAGAACGACGATTGTAGTAGTGATTCCAATGAAAAGGACTTGTAACCAACCAATGGGGTCGTTTGGGTTCGTTTTTATTACCGAAGATCCGTGTCTCATCTTCTCGCCTACAACAAGACCCCTCATCTATTGGTTGGCTTGCCTTAACTGCTTTCACACTTCACATCATCCATTTTTCAATTGACCACCGCAAAGCTGAATAATTCAAAATCTCCAATACCTGGAATGGAATGGAATGGAATGGTTGATCTACGTAATTACCACAAAGCAGGACTAGGATTTCCCACTTACAAGAATAGAACAAGGGGATTGGATTGGATTGGATTGGATTGGTAGTCAACTCGTTTTCAAGGAGACTTTTTTAGCAAAAAGAAAAAAAGAAAGAAGGAAAGTGGGGAAACGTCTATAATATAAATCTCGATCAGTCCTACAATGTGGAGGCATCGGCATCTTTGACTTTGACATTTAAGTCGGTCATCCCTCGCATCTTCTGCTTTATATTAGAATTTACGAGTTTTTTTCTTCATTTCACCTAATCCCTGAAATGAAACTAACCTGGTTAAAGAAACCGGCACATTGACATGTCTGAAACCAAGTAAATGATCCTCATCACACCCCAGGTAATTGAAAAATCACAAACATCGGCATCAATTTCTTATAATAACATTTCATTGACCTTATTATATGTGGGAAAAATCACAAGCGTCAAATATTCTATTCTTTTATTTATTAATTAACCTTATATTTGGAAAGCATAGTTCCAACCCACCACTAAAAGCGTTAAAAAAGATGGAACCCACCAGTATCACCCTCTACGTTTGTAGATCAGAATATTGGCCTCTATTTTCTAACTATTAGTACTATATTGAATTTTTATATAAATACTCACACGTGTGTGTATATATATATATATATATATATATATATACATACATTGATAAATTATTTAATATATTAACTAATGTTTATATTAAGTTTATACTTTAGCTATTTTAATAAAATAAAATTACATTATCAAAAATTTGAAAAACATCATATTGGCAATTTAAGGTGATATCTATCAATAAAGAAATTCTTTAAATTTAAAAACATACCATTAGATAAATTATTTTAAGAATAAATAATATTTATAAATTATAAAAAATAATTATGTATTATAAATAAACAGATATGTTTTTTAATGTGAGGTTAGAGTTTAAATTTTTCTTGGTGTTTAATAGTTCTACTATTTTTAATTAAAAACTCAATTCTTATTCTTTTTCAAACAAGCAAAATTAGAATATTTAAGAAATTGAAAGATTTTGTACTTAATATTGATATAAGTTGAGCCCTTATAATACAAGTCTTTATAAACAAAAACCTAAATATGGGAATAAAATGAAAATTTTAGATTCTTTAAATATAGAAAAGAACTATCAATTTTCATAAAGACAAAAAAGTATATGACGATAATAATTAATACGTCTATATGCAAATGACTTAAGAATCGTTACATACACACTTAACCAGTAAACGTTTACTGATAAAATTCGATGCTATCATTTACTTATCGGGTAAGATTTCAGTCCACCAAAACAACATTATATGTAACAATTTGCCCGGTAAGTGTTATCGTTGTAAGAGTCATCGGTATCACTTACCGGGTAAGACTCTCGGTCCTTACCTTCGCTCTTATCGAATAAGATTTTTGGTCTAAGGTAATATGACTTGATAAACATTTAGATAAGTAATCATTTGTTAAGCCACTTAATGTCTACCAAATGTACATTCAAATTAAACTTTAGAATCATAAAATATAAAATTATACTCGATAAAAGTGATAGATAAAATCACAATAAAATATTATTTCTTAATGGTGAAGGAAGGCATAAGCAGTTTCACCGGCTTATGCAACTGTATTTGATTTTGGAGGTTTCAGTTTGAAATAAATGCATATGAAACAATACATGTAGGACTATATTATTGTTTGACAATATAATATAAAAATATATATAAAAAACAATCACTTAAGACAATACTGTATTTACTTGTATTTCTTGCATCACTTTAAAAAACGATATATTATTATTGATTCTCATAGTTATCAATTTTTTTATGTTTCTTATAAAAAAACGCTATATCAATATGATGTTATACTAAAAATTACATGTTATCTAAGAACGGTAAACCTAGGGGCACGTACGCTTTCCCCAACGGCCTCGGAGGTTTGACCTTTCTATAATCGCATGTGATTTTTAGCATCACATGAGATAAAGGCGTTATCATGTTCTCGTAAGTTGACGTTATTCTCATTTGATCCTCTTCCTATCTCTATATCTATAATCAAACTAAACAAAACCAAAATATACAATCTTGACCTCTACCTCAAAGGATAGAATCATGATGTATGCAAGAATCTGAGCAAAATGGAAATGACATGGACAAGGACAAATAGAAAGGGTTAGGATATACATAGTCTAGACTCTAGACCTCTGCTTCAAAGAATAAAGTCGTCGTTTTTATGTAAAAAGTGTGAGCGAAAGGAAAAAGACAATGGACAAAGGACAAAAAGGATAATCAAGAATAACATAGAATAAGCCACAACAAAATAAGAGGAAAAGGCACAAAAACCAGAATAATCAATTTTCTCAACCAAATCCATTTTTAAGTTATTTTTTTAATTAAATTCTTTTTTTAACCAAAGTTTATGCAAATGTTTGCATAAACTTGTTTTTCAGATTAAAAAATATCTTTATGCAAATTTGCATAAAGATTTTTTTTTAATATGATAATAGGCTTTACGCAAATGCCTAATGCTCGTAAACACTAGCTAAAATGGGAATTCAGATCCAAAAAGGCTAAAAGATGAATTTGATTAGGAAGATTGGCTATTTTGATCAATTTCCCCACAAAAATTGCATCTTATCCATACAGAATCCCGAAATTTTTGCTGTCTTTCCCTCGCTCTCTCTTCTTCCTACATTCTAAAAATACCAACTACATGTCCCAAAGTTAAACCTACTACCCTACTTCTGCATCTTCAATAATTCCTATCAGATGGCATGTCATCGGAAATGTCTAGGACCGCCATGTCCAACCTCATTGCTCATCTCATGTCCTCCTTAGTCGTCCCCTCTTCCTCGGCCCTTTGACCATAACACTCTCTGCTCTCCCTACCGTTGGTCTCCTGCACATGTGTCCAAACCACTGCAATCATCCTTGTCTCAATTTATTGGTGATATACACAACCCCCAACTCTACTATAAGTGCCCCATTCGGTATCATGTCAAACAAGGTTCGGTAACAAGTCCATCTAAGCATCCTCCTTTCTAGAACTTCCAACTTCCTAGCATGCACTTTCCTTTGGGGCCTAATACATGGTTGGTCTAATGGCTACCCAGCAAAATTTTCCTTTCAACTTTTGTGGAACCTTTTTGTAGCCACAAGCCCACAACACCCTGTGGCAGCTCGAAACTTTAGTCACCATGCCTTTATGCAGTGCGTTATGTCATCATCTCCTTCTGCTTGAATCATGGAGCCCCGATACTTGAAAGAATGCTTTTGGGATACCATATGATATCCCTTCAATGTTAACTTTTACCCCCTCACCATTGCATTCCCTTCCCAACTGAAATTGCACCACATGCATTCTGTCTTAGAATGACACTGAAATTGTACCACATGTATTCTATCTTAGAGCGACTAATGGAAAACATTGTGTTTCCAAAGCCGCCCTCCATTACTCAATATATTCGTATCCCGTTCTCATTAGTTTGAAAACAGGAACAAAGCAAAACCACAAGGAGAGAAATTAGGGAGCAACAAATGGATTAAGGAATTGAATCATGATTTGTAACTAAGCGAACTAGATCAGTTACATGAGATAATTCAAACTAGGGTACAAACATAGATGATCTTTTTTAGTATTTGAATAGTTGTATGAGAATGCTATTTGTTACGGTTCATAATTCCATGTTTTAGAACTTTTATGCATGTTCATATTTCACCAATACATATAATTACCAGTCATTGTACTTTACAGGTTCAGATGTGACAAAGTGGCCCCACACCACGTCGATTCGAATTTGAGATCTCGAACATTCAATTATCTCAATCATGCAGAGTTTAGTGTGATTGTATGCATAACAAAGTTTAGTATTTGTGATCAACTATGAGTTATCAGATTTATGCATTCGTTCAGATTGCATGTTTTGATCAAAGTGTGTTGGCATCTTTGTTGCCATATGTTCACAAAAGGATTTTGCTAGTCATTTAACACGAAAACCATGAACTCACTGATAGTGAAACTGATTAGTAGTATGTACCTCAGAGGCATGCAAGGTGAAAAGGCATGTAGGAAAAAACAGGTTGTAGTTCTCTACTAATATATGTATGTATGTATGTATGTATGTATATGTATGTATTATGTATCATATTGTAAGTGATATAAGTATGGTTTGTCATTTGCTGCAAACGGTTAGAGTACGTTGATGATAGCATCGAAGTAGTGATGATGTTTGTTAAACATCGCAACCCTAGAAAGTCCCAACTGACTACTCTGACTGCCAACTTAGTTCGTCAAGGACTTGTTAATTCAAAGCCATTTGCATCCATAAAGCGTCTCCCTTCAGACATAAAATTTATGATTGTCATCCACTATTTCCATTGCATCTCCCAAGGCTATGCATTAATGAAACCTGTAGGACCGACGCATCATAGACCTCTTCTAACCATGTGTGGGAAGAGAAAATGGGTTACTTTAGGTCTATCATTTACAAAGTCCCACATCTACTTGTCAAAAGACCCAAACTCATCACCTATCTTCACCATCACCACATGTAGAGCAATCAGACTCAATATTTGATTATATCAAGTTGCATTTTATTGAAATATGGGGTTGTAGTCTTCTAGATATCTCTCTTCCATCTCATTGCTACCACATACCAAGTCGTATTATATTGAAATATGGGGTTGTGGATCCTCCATTTTCTGTATTTACCGGCCACAAATGCAGAAATGAATTGAACATTTATCAGGATGGGGACTAGAAAAGTCTATCTTCCATAAAGCCATTGAACCAATGACCACTGGTGGCCTACTAACCATGTTAAATTAAATAAGCCGTAGGACTTCAAGTTCAAGCATCTAGATCTTAGAATCGTATTATTCGGCCATTTAATGCTATGGAGAAAATTTCATCAACCTCAGCACACAAATATAGACTTGTTGCTTTGCTTTTGGGAATAAGCACAGAAACTTATAAACCAAACAAGACTGCAATGTAGAGATTATGAATAACAAATAACAAACGAAAATGACATACCTTGCAAACATGGCCAGCATTTTGAATTATTCCTGGTAGCTTCGCCTCTGACGAAAGAGAAGTGGCAAGATTCCCCAGTTAGGCTATCTTGTTATCATTTATTTGAGACCGCAATGGGATCCAATTCATAAAATACTTCTCTCCAAGCATGTCATTACAAATCAAGAAGGTTATATCACCACAAGAGTAGTATCATGAGATTAAATTCATTTCTTAGTTGCACAAAACACAAGATAATATAGATATGCCTAAATAAATGCCTCTTACTGAAGATAGTAACATTCAGCCGAAGCAGTGATAAGCTGAGCAACTCAAACAATCCCCTGAAAGATGTCAAGGTCAAATATTAAAATATGCTTAGAGCAAAAAGCTGATGAAATGACATTCCACAAAAAATCATAGAAAGGACATTAATGTTTTTAACACATACTTATCATCATGGAAAGCAGCAGAAGAAGCAACTTAAAAAGAATAAAGATAAAAAGATGGAGCTGTTAGTATAATATATCCAAAAATGTCAGAAGAAATCTAGGCCTAAAACTAGACTACATCCGGCCACAAAATGGTTCAAAACCAACTTGCAAGATGTCAGATTTTCAGAGAATGATTTGTGACAAACAGTACTTTGAATAAAACTGTAGTACTTGATGAAGAGGTACACCAGTTTCAGGGTTCTAAAAGGCATGTCTTAGTGGCTGCCATGGTGCAAGACTGTCATGTTAAACCCCGTGGCGGTTGTGGAAGGCAAGGCAGGCACGTTATGGCGCAAGTTTTTTTAAGGTGTTATTTGACTTCTTGAAAAGTTTAATCTTATTTTTACTTTTTGCGTAGTTATGAACTCTTGATATAATGCGCTTTGTAAGCTCTCTCTCTCTCTCTCTCTCTCTCTCTCTCTCTATCTATCCATCTATCTATCTATCTATCTATATATATGGCATATGGTATATGGTATATGATATCAATATATGCCTATTCTTCTTTTTATACGAATTCAAATTGTTTAATATTATTGAGTAATACTTGAAAAACATATATGTATATATATAACTAAAATATGATATATGAACTTGCCGCCTTATAGCCACGTCTTGAAAAATGCCGTTGCCTTGCCGTGACTCCTAAAGGCTTGAGATTTGACCTCGCCACCATACCACGTCTCATGCCATTGAGAACCTTGGGTTGACAAAAAATGAACGAAAAGAGAAAGTATAAATTGGTGAATCCCCTAGGCTTGCATTGGAGATGAACAGACCAACTCAAGAATGGTGTTGTCTCACCTTCTCCTCAATCAATGCCACTCCAACCTTCTTCATATAATTCTAATCCTATCCCTCATTGTGTGGCTGGTTCAAGGGATTTGCCAACCTTACAAAACATATTTTCAATATTAAAAAGAACAGATAAGTGTATGAGCACGACACACTTGTACTGGCAGGACAGCAACAATGACAACACCAATTAGCCTTAGTGACTGATCAACTCAAGATATTGAAGGGGCTTTATGTCACTCCATCATATTGGAGCTTTCCTTAGTTTGGTGGACGCAGATCAGGGAAGATACATTTGTGTAAAAGATACATGTCACATGTCCTTCTCCAACGATCTTACTTCCTTCTCATAAATATATTCTATCTTAATTAACTCCTTCACCCTTTTAAGGATTGTATTATACTTGTCACTTAGATGTTATTGAATAAATTGCAAAGACAATAACAAACGTTGAGAATGATATAATGTTAAAGCACTTCCTTGCATAATGATGGGAGTATGAATCTAGGATTAAAATATTTCTTTATTACATTTCTACGATAGATGATCATAGACGACCTCTTTACCATTATGTATAAATAGAAGCCCCCCAGGGGGGGGGGGGTAGATCAATAGATCTTCCTGGTACATTACTTGTTTTTTTTAGCTTTGACTGGCATATATTTAACAAAAACTAGATGACAATAAAACTCACAGGGGTTAACCCAAGAAACTACTCTCCTCTTTTGAAGCACCATATGCACCCAAGCCAAATGAATGCTGACTTTTAATATCTTAGTCAATAGTAGCTTGGTCAGCTACTATCCAAATGACTAAGAAAGAAGAAGCATAGGATAATAATTATGTGCAAGCTGTAAGATATCTCCTTATTTGCAAAATGATATGCATTTGAGTCTTGTCACTTACCCCTCTATGCATGCAAGTAGAAGAGATGGAAAAGAAGGTATGGAGGCATTACTAGCTCCACACATCTCTAGAGTACAAGCATACTTTATATGCATTTTTGCTATTGTCTTCCAGGTTAACAATCACACTATGCTGTTAATATCGCGATATATTGGCGATATATCGGATATCGGACCTAGGCAAAATATCGTCCCCGATATTATCGACGATATTTTCCGATTTTTCCTGATATTTAGCGATATTTTGATGTATATATCGGACCGATATATCGATTTTTAGGGTTCAATTATTTGGGCTTTTGTTATTTCATGGGCTTAGTTTTTTGGGCTTGGTAACATAATATTAGGTCTGAAATTAATAGTCTGCCTTCCAACGGTCTTCTTCCTTTCTTTTCATCTTTACGACTTCACACTTCACAGACACCTAGTTCACTTCACGAATCACGACTTCAGACTTCTCACAACTTCAGACTTCTCACGGAGTCACGGTTTGGCTTCTCTTCTCGGTCTCCTCTGCTTACCAAGTTGCTACAGTCACAGCAGCAACCGGCAGCAACTGTTGGCGTTGAATGTTTATACAGCCTATAGCAACAGCAATCGACAGCAACAGCAGCCACCTGAGTTCCTGCCTTCCTGGTCAACTCAGCCTCCAACAGTTCCTCAACACAGCCTAGTGACTCCGTTATGTTTTAATTTTGAAACTATATTTCTAAACTCTAATTAATGCATATTATATATATAATTCTAAGAAATATTATGTTAACCGCTATTTTGGACMGATATATCACCGATATAACCGATATATCGAATATCGGTCCTGACCGATATTTTGTATTCTGACCGATATAACAGCATAGCAATCACAACATATCCCAATTCAGCGCTTAAAAACCTCGAGAATTTAGATCGATCACTTACAAGCATACATTATATAGAAGCTATAAAAAAAGTACAAGATACCGATATATACAGGTACATAACTCCCACGTGTATTCAACTAACTCAACTCTCAGTTTGAGGGTGAGAATATTCCTCATGACATGATCACAATATTATAAAAGACTATTTGTGTCCTTAATATCCTTCTAACTCTCATCACTAGAAAAGAAGACGTTAAAGCATATTTCATGATTGTCTCATACCAAGTATCCCACTACACAAGGGATTACAGATAAACCTTATCGTTCTCAACATCAGATTCACTGTTCTTTGTCAATATGCTTGTAGACCTCACTTGCTAAATGCATGAGTTTTTTGGTCCAAGTTGCCTTATTTTTAAGTATGCACAACATTTCTAGTACAAATGCCCTTTTTTTATACTTCAAAAATATAAAAAAGTCAAATGCCATTGTCGCAGAACCAGGTAGAAGGTAACAAACACTAGAAACTATATGAAGAAACAATCAACTAAGAATGGCTATCATGATGACCAAATAATTCCCGAAACATAACAAAAGAGGCGTCTATTTTGGTAGACTCTTCTATGAGCCTGAAGGACAAATTAACAACTACTTGTTGTAGTTTAGGAGAAATTGATACTCATCTAACAATTAATTAACTGAAAACTGGAACCAAAACAAAAAGGAGAGGATTTCAATTAATTACTCTAGATGCATAAGGCAGAGGAGCATATTTCAAAATTTGACTTACCTTTTAATGCAATTACCTTCCACAGAACAAATACCTACAGACTAGGTAATAAATGATGAGGCCACTATATCAGGAGCTGACATCAATATATCATACACCTAATTTTCCTTGCAAGAACTCAAAACTTACAATAAGGGCAAAGCATTCCGCACTCCAAATTATAAAAGTTATGCATGTAGAAAGCTTTTAATGTGAATGTATCAGAGTGCGTTCAATAGTCTTATCATTGTTACTTCGATTCTGCTAGTCTCCATGTTCAAAAACCTAACAAACCTCTTGAAACATTCTAAAGTTTCCCCATTCTCGCAATTTTCGAAGCATTAAGCCTCTCTGGATTGGAGAAACAGACTGCTTCTTCCCAGTGTAGGTGTCACACTCCTATGACTTATCTAGACGCTCGACTGCATGAAGAAGCAGAAGAGGCGTCCGATGAGAACGACGCATTCAACGACAAGTTCGAGTTCGACAACTTAGAATCCTTCTCTCACAAAATCAATGACGGAGAAAGAGATATCAATCTAGATTTCATATGTGCATTGTTAGTGGCAGTGAACAAAGACGGTGGCTTCCGAACTTGTGGTTTTTCAACTTTATTCATGGTCGATATCACGAATCTCGGTGGCTATGACTTTCGAAATAGTAGTATTAGGTGAAGCAACGGTAATGTTCTTGAGAGAATTAAGCAATGTTTGGAGGTGCATTATGGATAAACAATTTGAAGTCACTAAAATTGAAACCCTAGAAAACGAAAATTAAGCCTTACAATGAGATATAGATGAGCAGTGAAGTTTACGTCATTGACGAAGGCGAAGCTCCATGGATGAGAAGAAAAATGATGATCGATGAAAGGAGCGAGAACAACGGTTCGCCGGCGTAGGTTTTTCTGTTACAGAAGTGTTCCGCATCGAATGCTATAATTGTTTACCATCAAATTAGGGTGTTGAAGGTTAAGGAAGTGTTATGAAGTAAAATTATTAAGAAGCAGATTTTTTTTTTTTTTTTTTGACAAATAAGATTCATCTGTTAACAATTTAGAATACATCTTTTAATTGAACTATTAAAAGGTAAACAAACAACTCCTCCGTTTGGATGATCTCTTGTAACCGCCAAACCGGAAAGGGTTCCTTTTCGTGAACCCCATTACTGATACGGAAAAAACGACTTGACATATAAATTGAGTGGTGGAATGTTGTCAGATTTGGTTTAAGTTTTGCTCTATTAAAAATATTTGAACGTCTCATGTTCAAATTGAAGAAGAAATAAAAATCTTTTTATGGTCATGGAGGTTCAAATGCGATAACTCCAGACTATCTACAAAGCAGATGGTCGTTCTGATGATTAATCGTCTCACATAGCAAGTTGGATATCCAGGTTAATAGAAAAAATCCAATGGTCATAGTTGTAAGTTGTAACTTTCTCGAGAAAAAAATGGATGAAAATGGTTTGTGTTTTTTAAACTTTTGAAGGAAATAATAACAAGTTTCCTCTTAAAACTTTGGAATGTGGGAGAAAAAGGAAGGAAATGAAAGTAAAAAAGTTAAAAATCTATAAAAACATTATTAAAATTACAAAACTACTCATCTTTTTATAATGAATGACATATTTTTAAGGGCAAAATGCATGGAAAAAATAGCATACTTTAATTTGATTCACATTCTCGAAACGTACTCTTAAAACTTCCATTTTGATACCTAAGATATAAAGTTTTAAACATTTAAATACTCGAGTAACCGGTTGAAATATTAACCGGTTACTATGCTGATGTGACGAGTGATGAGATGAAATTGAGTTAAATAGCAAATAATACTGAGTTGGATACATCAACATGGAAACCGGTTAATGTTTCAACCGGTTACTCATACACTTAAATGTCTAAAACTTTACATATTAAGTATCAATATGAAAGTTTTGAAAGCACGTTACCCAAAATAAAAATCAAGTCAAAGTATATTATTTTTTCATGCAATTTGCCCTATTTTTAAATGATACATTTTTCATTCTTTCAAAAACACAAATAAAAAATTGTTTTTCTTTATTTCTCTTTCCTCCATTTCTTTCTTTTCTTTTCTTTTCCTCCCTAAATTCGACAACATTGTATTAGAGATAGCCAAATACCAGTCCCAAGACGGATTGGTTCCTTCATTTCCTTTTCGTAACTGGTCACGACCATAAACCCATGGCCCGGTCTCCTTTAACCATAACCGGTCCGGTCCTAGGCCCATCCCAAATCGGTCCCAAGTTTTTTTTCCAAAGAATAATCTTGAACATATAAAAATCAACTTTCATGATTTTTTTAATGATATCTTATTGAAATACACTTTAAAATCTTTAATTGCGTCATTTAAATACATTTTAAATAAAAAATATTGCACATGTTTTTATAATTACAATTTTTGGAGTTTAGTATTAAAACACTTTTAAAAACTTGAAAAACTTAGAAGAAGAACTTGAAGATTTTGATACAAAAAAAAAACTTGAAAATCTTTTTGAAACCTTCAAAAAGTTTGATATATAATTTATAAAAACTTTTTTTTAAATCGGACCTATATATAACGGGTCCCTGGCCGGTTATACCTTATTTTGGTAAAAATCATAATAAATTACAGACCGTCGGGCCAGTCCTAGGTTGGGCCCGACCTATTTTGATAATCTCTAATTGTTAGGGACGTCATAGAACACGACCCATCATAGGTTGTATATGGGTTAGTTGGTCGGGTTGAAAACATTTGAATAACCTAATCTAATAGTTGCGGTTTGAGAAATATCAACTGAACATAGCTCATACCTACTATACGTGTGGGTTTGGATTGGTCAAGATGTACCTCAATTACAATATTATTAAGCGACTCTGTTTAAACAAAGTAGATTAAAATAAGAACATACAAATAAGGGTAACAAACTCAAAAAAAGAGTTGAAGGTTCGTGTAAATAGGAAAGTAAAATTATGGTTGAATTGGTGATATAATTATGAATATTACTAATTAAGGGTTGGTGTAATGTCTAAATGTACATATATTAATTAAGGATTTAACAATAAGATAAAACCCATTATCCATGGGGTTTCGTATTTGAAATTACTTCTTGTTCAGATTGATAGCATTTCGAGTTGAGGTCGGTCGGGTTATGGTATCATTATAATGCAAAAAAAAGAATATTTAATCGATTTCAAAGATTAATTCAATAGATTGAGAGAATTGATGAAATTAATACTAGGTTTAGAAAAACTAAAAAAGAGTATGACTAACTATAATTTAGGATTTTAAAAAATGATTAAATAAATAAGTATATTTATAATATTTAAAATATATATGTATATATATTTCTAGTTTTTGGACGGATCAGGCAATCAAAAATCAAATCAAACCCTAACCCAAATATCCTCCAAAAGTCAGGTTTTGGATTTTCGGATTTCAAGGTATTCAAGTTTTGTATAAACACCTTATTTTCAGTTCGGGTTCTAGTCCAGATTTCAGACTCTTCGAGTTTTGCACACCCCTAATTCCAAGTTGGGGTGGTCGATCTTTGTGCACCCCTAGATAGGAAATTTCACCACATCCCTTTGTGCTTTTCAGAAAAGGGGGGTTGTTGTTGCCTTTTATTCTTCTTCATTTTATGGGTACTTAATTTTTTTACAACGTCAAATTGTCGAAAATTACTTCTGGATCAAGTTGAAGCCTGATTCAGATGTATTATCTATATCCAACATTTTTAATAAGTCTCAATAAGAGTTATCTGCGAGCAGTATTTACAAAATGAAATGGGTACTTAATTTTTTGATGTAGTTATACTGCCGTTTGAATCAGTTTTCATATTTGCGCTCACAACTTGTTGAACCGACAAATTAATTTTCAACAAACATGTCCCTAATATATCGCACTAATTTACTGGTTGTGATAAAACCGTTCATATTTAATTTTTGAGTATATAATATGAGCAACAAATTTTCAATGAACAAATAACTAAAATAGAATATTTTAATAGGCAAATTGCATGAAAAAAATAACGTACTTTAATTTGATTCATATTTTAAGTAACGTGTTTTAAAACTTTACATATTAGATTTGGTACCTAAGATGTAAAGTTTTAAATATTTAAATAACTCAAGTAATCGGTTGAAACATAAATCGATTAACATGCTGATCTGAGATATGCGATGAGTTTATCAAATTTTAATATTTGTCTTCGAAAATAGATACCCGATTATTTTGTCGTTATTCAATCACTAAAAAAACCTCTATTAATAGCCCACGTGGAGGATAAAGACGAATACAAGAACACACGTGGACCATTGAATCGTGGATGAATGGTCATCAATCGTTTTCAAATCAATATGCACCATCACATAGATTTAAAAGATAGAAAAGAAAAATCCAAATTATTAAGAGAGAATGTTATATATATATATTTTTATATCAGAATCATGTTAAACTATAAATTAAAAATATAAAAAATAAATATTGATGTTGATATATGTAATTAGAAAAATAGTAATTATAACGGTATAAACCTTTAAGTATGCATTTATGTTGAGGTTTTTTCATTACAACTTTTTTAAACTTTTTAGGATCCCATTATTTTAATTTCGTATCATTTATATATTTTTATTTATAAAAATCAATATATATATATATATATATTAAAATTTATACAAATGCATATTTATTTATATCGAGAAAATATCATCACTTTAATTATGTATTTATTTTACATTATTAATTTTATTTAAACATGATTATTTTAATTATACTAATAGATAAAATTGATTAAATACAAAACCTTTTATAAAGTTCTATAAAATTAAAACTGATTAAATAAAAAAAACCTCTAAAAAAACAGGTCGTATAGTTACAGTCTATGACGAAAAACCTCACCAAAAATCTCCAACAAAAAAGGTGACGACTATGTTTTTAGGAAAGTCGATTATTATTTATAAATATATAGATATATGTCATTCTTTCTCGCTGTAAAATGTGACTGCCCCTCTTTTCTCATCTCCTCTATCCCTCTCGTTTTCATCTAAACTGTACGAATATATTAAAATCACAATGTAAACAGACTAAAACTATAAGATCTAAATAATGAACATACTGAAATCGTATTATAAACACACTAAAACATATTGTTAAGTATATTTGTATATTGTGATACTATCACAATGCGCACATTAACTAAGCTTATACAAGATAGTTGAAAAATAAACCATGAAAACACACACAAAAAAGTGTATTTTCACATAGTTTCCGACATTGTACGATCCTAAAAGGTTTTGATCCTGAGTGTTAAAAGTTCATGAAAAAGATGGAAGAAAAGGAGAAAATACAAAGTAAATATGCTAATGGGAATGGGTTGTAAAGTGACCGAGGAGGGCATTTTAGTAATAAAAAGATATAAGTGTATTACATTGTTGGTCCCTGTAGTTTGCTCGAAATTTGGATTTGGTCATTGGTGCCAATCACAATTTTTTTTAATATAATACTATTGAACACACACACACACACAAATAACTAATCACAAATGTTGTTGAACTGACTTAAAAACTTAGATTTTATGCACATTTTCATCAAAAACCTCTCAGAATGAGCTATGGTTTTGGGGGTTTACTAGCACTGTAAAACGAAGAGAAGGAACAAAATCATGAGACAAATTACAAAATCCAGAACACAGCACACGCAAGAGAGGTTGGTGTTGAGATGAACATACTACAAGAAAAGTGAGTTTCAGTGACGCGCCTTTAGCGATGGCATGGTTCGACAAGAAGCTATAGCGACGACATGTCATCTCTATAACCGTTAATAACGATAAATTGACTTTTAGCGACGACAAAAATCGTTGCTAGAACCGCTATTTCTTGTGGTTACAGAAGGGAAGTGGGTGGTGTAAAGAAGAAGAGGGAAC